CTCCAGGTCGGGTCATCACCACCCCACTCCACCACCCTATTACCAAACTCCACCACACCACCCCACCGCACCGCACCACACCACACCACCCCACCCCATCACCCAACTCAACCACACCCTGCACCGTGAGGAAAAACCCCGTGCTTGTGTGTGTGTGTGTGTGCGCATTTCCCCACGTCAGTATTTACAGTCTTTTAAGTGTACACAGTGACTTGTCTCACCCTTAGTGTGTACCAGTATTAAGAGGTAGTGATACACCAGGTGAGATGCAGAGGCAACAAGAGGAGGTGTAGTGTGTGGAGGTGTAGTGTGAGGAGGTGTAGTGTGAGGGGGTGTAGTGTGAGGGGGTGTATTGTGAGATATACTATGGTAGGTAGTGACACGTGAAATTATGACAGTAGAGGCTGAGTGGTGCGAGATTATCATAAGGGAGACACAGCGAGGTAAGGTGTGTCTACCAGGCAGGATAACCCACCCACCCGCTCCAGCCTCACTTGTTTCCAACAGCAGGTGGGGAGCGGCGGAACTGGGGAAACACCTGCACGCGGCCGCCTCCCTCCTGCCACCACAACAAGGAACATCAACCCACCCCCCCACCCCCTCGCCTCCTGAACTGTCCTCCCCATCACCTACCCAGAGTAAACACTGACAGTCACCAACACATCTCTGAGCCAAAGTTGGTTCTGGTGGTGATAATGATGATGGTATTGGCGTTAGTGGTGATGGTATTGGGGTTGGTGGTGGTTGGCAGTGGTTGTGGGTCAGAGTGGGTGGGTGGGTGAAGGTGGTGCTGCTGGTGGGTGGATGAAGGTGGTGCTGCTGGTGGGTGGATGAAGGTGGTGCTGCTGGTGGGTGGTGAACCGTGAGACGAAGACGCAAGTGACCTCCAGGGGCGGCTGGGGTCACCAACTGACTGAGGGGCCCTTAAGGGTGACCAAAACCTTGTAAATACTACTTTTACAAACAATCACACTATATACAACACACACACACACACCATTGTACAAGTGTGTGTGTGTTGGAAAGCAGGAGGGAGTTAGTAAGGGTAAGTGGAGATGAATGACAAGGGGGGGGAACACCACAGGCCTGTATGAATGACGGTACCTGAGGAGATCTTACAGTGACTACTACTGCTGCTAAATACATTAAGACTACTGCTACTATATTACTACTACTATACAGACTAGATTTTGTAGCCTAGCCTAACCTAGTACAGTAGGTATTTCTATTACTACCATTACTGTTGCTCTTTCTATCACCACACATACAGTACAGTACAATAGCTTGCCCCAGGGAAGGCCTTGTTTAAAGAGCACTACCCTACCACTAAGTACAAATAAAGCAAACACAACTACATTTTTTAAGATTTATGTACTGTACTGTATTACAAGTTGGGGTCAAAAAGTTGTACATTTGGTAACTGTTTGTTGTAATGCCTTAGAAAAATTTAAAATACCAAGAGAAATTGTATTTCAACACCAAAAATCACAATTAATTACCAATAAGCCTGGTCATATTTGCAAAAAATCATACAATTTAGATTTGGCTTATAGTCTATATGCTGTAGAGGTACTGTACTAACTTGCAGTCGTCACTTGAATAAAGGGAGAAATCCCTTTCCCAGCCAACAACTCCAGCCTTTCTTGGTAAAACCTCAATATTCACAATCTATCATCAGAACAGGGTAAAAGTTTATACAAATTCAAGAACTTTGCTACAAGCGCTCTACGTCTTATCTCCACAAACATCCAAAATACTTTAAACTTATCACATGCTCATATAACTCACGTAACTCATCTAGGTAAGTACAGTCCATACCACAGAAAAACTAAACCAGGGAGTAAATTACTACAAGTACGTAATACCTCCAATGTTTTAAACTTACACAACACATTAAACACATACCTGTACTCTTTGGGGGGGAACAATGCTAAAAAAAAAAATAAAAAAAAAAAAAAAACAAGACTCCATCTGTACCATCCAGACACCCAATATATCCTGGTGTAATATATTAAGTAACCAAACTAAAAAAAAAGTTCTATAATAGGGACAGCTGAGACGAGGCAACCTGGAAGACTGTGATGTGAGGAAGCCCCACAGCACCTTGGCCTGACACACAACACTCACCTAGTTTCTATTTCTGGTGTTATAAAACTTTCAACATTTAGTCTAAGGAAGTCTTTTGCATACATCCAACTTAAGACTGACTTTTTTTTATACACACACACACACACACAACTGAAGACTGACTTTTTTTACACACACACAACTGAACTGATTTTTTTACACACACACACACATCCAACTGAAGACTGACTTTTTTTACACACAATGTTAAAAATATATAAACCACAACTCAAATCTTTTTCAGCTACGAGACGATTAAATATGTACGACTAACCAAGCATACCTGTATTACTGTTCCTCAATAGACAAAGATGAACTAAACAGACCGACAGTCATGACAAAATTACCGTTCATAGATTATTACCAAAACTAAGTGTTACCTGTAAATGTGTGTCACTGAAAGGAGTGTGTGACCTTAAGTGGTTTATGGGGACGGATATGTTGCTCATGGGTGATACTAGATGATATGAAGCAATGAATAAACTGCCTATGTACTACTGTATCTTCCCCACCAAATTTAAGACAAAATTATAGATTCTAACTATACCATATCATAGTCAGGTAACACCTTAAGCATCTCAGTTATTGTTACTAGTAATGGAGAATATATAACCTGAAATAAACATTATCTGCCCCTTTTTTTTTTAATAAATTCCCTAAATTAGAATGCTCCCCATTTTCCAAACCTCAGAAGAAAAGTCCAACTCGGTAAACAAAGCAAAAAGAAAGACAAGAAACAGACAAACATCAAGAAGTACAGTACAGTATGTATTTGAAGCCTTGTGCTAGAGGCCACAATGTCCAGCCAGGCAGAAGACTCGCCATATACGTAGCATAATCTGGTCAACGTTGACTCAGACATTGAACAAGCTGGCTGATGAACACCAACAAGGTACTGTACACTGAAGGTACACTAGATAAGGAACGTCTCTCGGGTGACTTCTTAACAGGAATGATATTAACACTGAAGACCAGATCCAGTGCGAACGATACAAAGCTTTACCGAGAATCACTTCAATTAAGTTAACTATCTCTTATTATACTGTACAGAAATTTACCCCAAGTGAATATGTACTGAAGAAATGTTTGTCTCTAGATTCACCAAACAGTATCTCATTCAGCAAGTTGATGACCCATGTCATTAATTGGAATAACCAAAGCTTTAAGAAGTAGTCAATGGTTATGTGGGTTTGTAAGTTACTGTGAGCACACTTGTACCTACAGTTATCACCCAGGTTTCACAAAAGTTTTAGAGCTCACTTGCCACAACTCATCAAAGGTCACAGTCTAAGACCATTGAGGAACTTTACCCCAAGCTAGGACACACATTTTAAAGATTATGTTGTGTTAACTCTTGCGTCTTACTCCTGCTGTCACAACACTCCATCGACTATACAAAAATTTCACCAATTATTCCTTAAGAGTAATCCAATTTTTGTCGATATGGCACAGAGGCTAAGGTCAAAGGTTATGAACATAATTCACCCCAAACTAGGAGTTCTATTCCAATAAATGGCATTTTTCCAGCCTGTGTTTTACCTTTGTCTTCATCATCCTCTAACAGTCACACGAGACTTCACCAAGTACTGTACTATACTGTTCTGTGAGTCATAATTAATGTGTTCCTTTGGAGGAGGCATAAGAATTATATATAAAAAAAATTAAGATTTTATAGCTACAAACTTTATAATGAATCTAACATTTAAAAAAAATTAAATGTTGACTTTGGATCCATTAAATGAGTTCCCACATTCTATGTTTACCAAATTTTAATTACAGTACCTGCTAGTGTAATGTTTGTCTACTGTACTTTACCTTAACTTATCCTCTTTGCCACTAATTGTCCTGTTAGTCAATTGGGCGCTCATCCACATCTCTGTTATGCACTGTTGGCAAGTACTGGGTATGTACAATACTTGCTTTGGAATATATCTGTACAGTACCTGTACCAGTGTTGGTCAAGTCAGGTCGTAAATGAGCTCACACCCGGTGCCGTCACAACATTAGAGGTACACTCGCAACAAAAAGTATCGGTGCAGGGTGAGATCGACGACTTCCGAAATGATACGTATACACTGTGATATGTCGGGAAGGTTGGTAAGTGTATCCTCATAACCCCCCCCCCCCTCCACTAGGTGTTGCCATATGGCTGACAATCAGTGTGTTTGTTTCCTCTTTTCGGATTGTAGCTTTGTGTAGACTGAATGATCAGCGAGGGTTCGGTCTCGGTGATTGTGGGTATAAAACAGAGGCAATATAAAGCAGTAGAGATCTACACATGCCAGACGACATGGAAACCTCGGAGGGAACACGAGGAGCTATTATTGCCCTTCATAACGAAGGGTTCGGCGTCACAGATATTAGCCGGCGGGTTGGTGGCCACAGGAACACCGCTGCATGATGGATTCGACGATACCTCGAAACTGGTGCTACAGACGACAGGTCTCGGAGCTACCGTCCACGTTGCACCACCCCTCAGGACGACCAGGTTGAGTGGTTTATTTGGAAGCATAAATTAAAGTGGCAATATTCACAAGTATCACAAATAATTTTGTTAACAGGGAGCTCCTCATATTTCATACTGTCTATTTATCACTTCCCGACCTTATTTATAACGGTTTGTTTCACTTGACAAGGCCACAGTAGCTGCTCAGCAGGATTACAGGGCTGCCAACATACGGCTGGAACAACTCGCCTTTCCCAATACCTATCGTCACTGGTCTCAAATTGTTCATACTACAGTATGCACCGATACTTTTTGTTGCGAGTGTACATCCTGCCGGACACAGTACTGTACAATATAAAATTTACCCAGTGATCTAATCCAAAAAACATTTAAACCAAATATATACTTGAGGCTGTTAAGCACTTACCTAACTATGGCAAGGAGCAGGATGCCCCCAGCAGAGAGGCCCCATCCTGCAGCAGCAAAAGCTGCCGGCAGGGTTAGGCATCCCATGCCAACAATTAGGTTGAACACATAGATCAACCCGGTCTGTAAAAGAGGAAATTACCAACATAAATAAACATGTACAGCACACTCACTATACAGGCAGTCCCCAAGTTACAAACACCCACACTTACGAACAGCATCCCAATACATTCAGCACAAAAATCTGTCACAAAAAATCTCATCTTTTATTACTCTATATTTTTTAACATCACTTTATGTACAGTATTTACAATATTTGTTATATATGGAAATTAACATTGTTTTGTGTGGGCAGAGTTGTGCTTTAACCTAACCGAACCTATGGAATTAACACTGTTCCGCCTTACAAACAGTGTCCAGGGATGTAGCCCAGCTGTAGCTCGGTGAAGAAGTCATAAACATACATAATCTGGTGAAAATATATATGAAGCAGGAAGTATAATAAATAAAATTAAGTAAGGAAATAGGAGAAGAATAGATAAGAAAGCTGCTGTCTGTCCTGTTGTTATACAAACTTCAGTGCTACAGCAGCTACAGTGATTTTAGTCTCAGATTTTTGTGTTTTATGTATGAAATCACTAATGAACCGAGCCTTATGTGCCAAACAAGCCTTCACCTAGTACAGATAAGAAGACAAAATTGATGAGATTAAAATACAGTAAAAGATTAAAAAAATGGATACATTGGTAGTGCACCAGTGTGGGTGTTAATAAACAGGATATAGATGTGAGACGGGTGTTATCCAGTGTGAATTCACCAAACATCACAGATTTCCTCCTAGCACTCAACAATATAGGTCATAATAATGTAACAAGAAACAGACTAACTGCTCAAACAACCAGTAAGAGAGAAAAATTTATCATCATCGTCTGTACAGTAGACAAGAATTTTCAAAAATAACTGACTTTGTTTCTTCAAGAGAATATAACAGTACTGTATAGTGTTATAATTAATGTCTATGAAATTTTCGGATTCTTCCTCCTCCTCGTGTAATCAAAGATGACGTCCTCCACTTGTGGGTGGATGCCACTGGTGTCTTTCTTTACAAAAATAGCTAAAGACAAAACCTGAATGAGAAAAGTGCTACTCTTGGACTCAATTTACAATATTCTTGAAGTAAGACAGGTTTTATTCTACATATATCTTTCAGTAGATAGCTGGTTAACCCGGACCATTGTTCCTAGTTCCTTCACTACGGCGACGCCTCTTTTAGTTAAATAATACCAATAGTTTTCCCCACAGCCCAACCCATGCCTAACACCCTTTACAACAACCTGCAGAGTTCTCAAGAAATATTCCATCCATTTTTTTTAGTTTTTACTCATTCTGATTTTAGTAGCTACTCTGTTAACACTTATAGATACAAACTCAGAAGGTAATACGCTAAATACATGTATCGTTTCCGTATGAGATTTTAAACTCCATACTGACCGCACAACAGATCATTACTCCGCTAACTTACAGTAGAGCTTGTTTGAATTACACTTCTGTTTAGGAATAAGGACACATCAGTTCCAGATTAGTCACTTAAGGATGGTTACTGGTCATAAGAGTGATTTAACTAAGTCACAAGATAAATTTTGCCAATCAGAACAGTTACTAGCAATGTGCCAAAGCATATTGCAGGTGTCACTTTAAGACTAATAGGCAGATTTGGATGACTGAAATAGTTGCTCGTGTCTGTAATAAATTTCCTGAACGACATATGCAAGTGATTGATATTTACTCAGTTAAAATTATCTAAGAATTTAAACACTGTCTTTAGCATGTAAATAAACAGTAGCCAAATAGAAACAACAGCAAACTGAGCATCAATTCAACCAAGAACAGCCTAAGAAAGCCATTGAAGGCCTAATTCCACTGGGTAGCCTATATGAAGATAAAGTAAGGCGTGGATTAAGGTGACTGCTCAAACTACAAAAAAAACTACCAAGAATTATTACGCACATCACATTACCCAATTACAATACATTTAATCTAACTTAACCTACATGTAATGGACTATCCTGCTGTACTTATCATGGGTAATTCATTATATACAAATATCAAGCTGGGGATATTTGTCATATTCAGTTCAGTTCATTTACCAACTTCAGATCACCTACGTTACCTGAGACTATAATATACGGTCCGACTAATTACCCAAATGTAGCCGCAATGAAGTCAAATAATGGTCCGACATGAATAAATCAGACTGCCAATCACTTCTCGACTAGTATTTGGTGTCACAAAGTAAAAAAAAAATTGGAAAACGTAATTTAATCCGAGTTAATAGATCGAGTGCATGTACCTAACCTAACCTAACACAACACAGATTAAATTAAGTTTACCAATTTTTTGTGACTTTATGACACCAAATACTAGTCGAGAAGTGATTAGCAGTCTGATTTATTCATGTAGGACCATTATTTGACTTCATTTTGCTACATTTGGGTAATTAGTCGAACCGTATAATTATGTGGTTTGTCAAGTATGTCATTGTCTTCATATATTACAAATACTTTAATATCACATCTTAAATGTAATAGACTAATCAAAATCATCTCTATTTAGTACTTGGATTATAACATATTTCTTTTTAATAATTTACATTTACTACAATATGGATATTATTGTATCACTATAGTATAAATAAAAGGATATACAGATATAACTTACCGCAGGGGAATACTGCTCTCCCGGGTGTAATCCTACAGAGTTCGGCATCTTACTAATGGATTATACAACTAATAAACTGTCAAGCACCCATCGAGGACAGAGAGAATGACGAATATAAACCTCAGCAAAATTCCTGATCTCTTCTGTCCTCCTCTGACTAAGGAAGCAGCAGTTAGATAAATAGATTTCTCAACTTTATATTTAACACCACAATAAACACAATTAAACCGATACAAGTCTATAAACCAACTAAAAAAAACTCATAAACAAATTATTGATAATTAACTTGACTAATTATTCCCCCTTCTGATTAATTGGACACTGTGTAACTGTATAGTGTTAGTGATAGATCTGTTGAGCGAGTGACAATCAGCTGACGCAGTGGTAAACAAACAGGTGAGGGGCGAGATGCGTTACACCTGACCAATACTTTTTTATCTATTCCATATCACACTACGATATTTCACAACGCCTGGAGGTTTATTATATAATTCAGATTATTGAAATATCTTATATAACGTAAATTATGATGTAATGTTTTCTTTATTACTCACTGGGTATATATATTTACCTTTATCTACACAGGTATATTTATATGTGTTTTCCCGTTATCGACTTTTGCTCAAACTTAGTAAATATGTAAATGGTAAAAAAACAGTTGAGACACAAAACAAACTTACTGTAAATTACATTTCACTTGTCCCTTCATTAGTAGACTATATCAACACCTGTTTTAAGCTTTTCATGAATTACAAAGGTTTATTGTAAATATTTCTAGTGATGAGGGCGCACCTTGGGGAATTTTCAGCTGCGTAGACAGAAGCAGTAGAGAGAGCATGGGGAAAATATGAGAGGATGACAATAATAATAATAATAATAATAATGATACAGTTTCCTCAAGGAAGTCGGGAGGCAAGGCAGACAGAGGAACTTGACCTTGGCACCTATAGTGAGAACAGCCATGCCAAATATGCTGTAAATATCCTACTTCCCTATATTGTATTTCTTCCTATGGGGCACTGGAAGACACAACGTGATGGAACACCCAGAATGAATTAATAAATATACACTCAATAAATGCCCAAGACTTTATCCAAGCGAGAATAAAATGTGATACGAAATACTTACATGGCTACTAAAATGAATTGAATTACGATTACTGTATCTACGCTACTCGACCACTTACACCACCTATCAGTAATTAGTAATAATATTAAACTCTACACAACTTACAGTACTCACACAACACTACTGCCGCCATCACCACCTAAATGCACAACTAAACATACCAGTCTCAATATACAACTTTACTTATAAAAAAAAAATAATATCCGATTAATTGTATCTCTTTGTAAACCTTATCGTGTTATGAACTTACGAGGATATTGTTCCACTCGTTGTCACATGCTCGTCTTGAAGGTCTTGTCATTCATTTATGTTGTAATTTCGTTATTTATTATTACTATCATTTGTATTAGTATTACTTTCTTTTCTCATTCAAATGTGGTATGAACAGTTTGTATTTGGCGGGGATAAGTCCACGGGTGAGTGAGTTAGGGTTAGGGAATACCTCTGTTATTTATCTTTTGTTATCTTTTATTAATTAGTATAAGCCATTGTTTAGTATTTTGTGCCATTGATGAGTTGAGAGAGAGAGAGAGAGAGAGAGAGAGAGAGAGAGAGAGAGTAAACACACACACGCACACATCAAGGTCATCAATTATTATTCTATATATCTTGTCCATATAATTTGCTGCATATAATCAAATCATTTAAGAGTCCTGTAGTGTTTACTGAATCAACAATATATCCATTACTGGGATGTCAGGACAATGCTTTACATTTTTCAAATATTTGTTCATGGCATAATCATTGTTGTGCGTTATCTGCACTCTCATACTGCTGAACTCTTTGAGGGCAATGATAAAGACTTTTGGTGAATATTTCAAGTAGAAATAGTAAGGCAATATCTGATACTAACATCTTCCTTACTCTTCAATGTCTATAAAAAATATTGATATACGTAAACAATGAGTTATACTGTATATTATCTGTTCTTTGCAACGAATTTCAGTACTAGAAGGATTAATGCCTACCAGTGAGTGTATTTCTAGTTACTGTGGGCAGATTTCTAGCTCATGTTGTATTCAGTACACAGTGGAGATGAAAGTTGTCATCATCCCCCAGCTGGGTCTTTGACTAGGCATCCGAACGCCATATAAATTATTCATTAACGTCTACTGCCGATCAGATGCACCAGTGACAACTTTCCCAATCAGTAAGGCTTGCTGATTTTACCAATGTCTCAGTTTCTACATTAAAACTAGCATCTATTTCATCTACTGGTATTTAAGATATGTTTTCCACCGCCATGCATTTTGCTGTGCTACAAGAATGCGCGCGCGCACACACACACACGCTATTGACAGCTCCAGAAAACTTTACAGAATTCTTTACTGAATCCCAGACAGTGAGTGAACTCTTGTTATCTTCTAAAGCTATAGGTTTGCGGGCGAGGATAAATTGCTTAAGGGTGCATGAGTTTTATAATTCCAATATGATGACTCGCTACTCTCCTACGCGTCGGGACCAATTAAAAAACTACTTATCTGTAACAGAATCTTGTATGACCAAGAATACTTCATACCATATAAGTTAAATTCATGGAAAGAACGACACAACGCGAATATGAAACTGGGATATGGAGACACTCTTTCAATTAATCTCTTAATGTGGGTTTGATCTCCATTAAAATTCGCAAAGCATAACTCAATACACAGCTACAAGGAACCTCAACACGTGTGTACCGAAGCGAGCAATAGGTATCGTAGCGCTGTTGCGGAGAGATCTACCTAACCTAATAGCGGTGACTTAGATATTCCCTTCCCGTACTGGTCATCCAATATTCTTGCCAGCAACTTGTCGAATACAGCTGTGCAAGTTGATTTGTGCACTGTATTCAAGATGAGCACAAGCAACTACAATAACAAAGTTGTTTATCTCACGATTACCAGGATACAAACAGCTTGATTAATCTGGCCTCAGTACCTCTCAAACAAGGATTGACACGACCTCGCATTTTGTTAAATTCTTTTGTTTACTTATTCTACTTTTATCCAACATTCTTCAGGCTGGGACATCCTTTAATGATACATCAAGTTAAACACACTCTTCGAAACTTCTACAAAAAAAATAAGATATTAATACTGAAGGAACCAAGCGTACAAAAAATATTCTTAAAATCGACTAGAGATGAATAGTCATGTCTAAGACCTCAAAATAAGACTTGTTAATATTCTCCAGCTTGTCAATACTCAACAAAAGCAAATCCAGTAAAGAATCATGAAAACAGAAGTCAAGTCCCACGCGACCAACGGTATTTACTTACTGTTCACAGACCCGTACCACATACCATCTCTGTATACAAAGACAACCATGTCCATCCCACAACAGTAATTTCGTTATCAAGAAAATTGACTCCATGAATGACTTGCACGCAGTGGGGGTGGGGACACCTTCACACGATACTGTATACTGCCATTTGATGTTACATAAAAAATCTAAAAATATAACCTAAAGAAATTTTTATTTATTGTATGATCTCGGTATGGACAACGAACCAATCTTATTTTTAATTTATTTTAGTGAATATAACATAAACCTGTTATTTGAATATACATAACTCACTACAAAATACGATTACCCCACAAGCGTAGTTTCAATCCTAATTCATTGTCAATTATTAAATATTTCTTAACCATGTATCAAACGCCACAGTGGGATCCAATTAAATTTCTCACAACCACAGAATTCAGCATAACCAGTGTCGATAATTTTTAACTGCAATTGTGTACAGACAGACAGACGTTAAGCTTAGTAAATCAATATACTCCCCTGTATGAGCTGTGGCAATTTGAAAGCTTATCTGAAAGTAAAATTACATGGCCGAGGTGTTTACTGTAAGCACAAACGAACGAAACGGAGAGAGATGACAAGGATAAGAGAAGAGGAAATAAGAAAGGACAAGAGGAAAACGAAACAAGAAATGAACAAAGAGGAGGATGAGACACTGTGAAGGGGAGAAGAAAGGGAAGTTAGAGATAAGGAAAAGAGAAGGTAAAAATAAAAGAGGGAGGAAATGCAGGAAAGGATACAAGCATTAGGAAAAAGAAGAGACACCGAATAGATTAATAAATGAGAAGGAACAAGATTATAAAACAGCCAATAGTCTTGTTAGTGTATCAGACGGTCATCATACTATCGAGAAAAAAAAAGATCCACTAATTCCTACCTACACATGTTCCCTTCGACCTTTAAGAGAAAATAAAAACATTACAGCGTCATTAAAAAAAAGACATTTAGGTTTCCTTTCCATAAAAATGTTCAAGACTAATGCATCTCCTTCACGTGTTTAATTAAGGAAACAGTGACCTTGACCCTAGAATATTCAAGAAAAATATAATTGGTTCCTCAGCTACTACTACTACTACTACCATACTGTAATTATTGCTACACTACGATCATTGACGTTTACGAAAAGCCATCTCAACACCTCTCATGAATCAGAAAACAAAATAGTGAAATCAAGCACCCTCCCCCCCACCCAGATTATGACCATCTATCACCTAGATAATCTTCCTCTACCACGGTATGGAGGTTATGTAAAGGATATACTAGTAATGTCCTACGCTTAACTGAAGCCACTGTGGACGCTAAACATGGTCGTGTTTACTAATCGAGTCGTTGGCTAAAAACATGGAAACTAGGAAACATGAAGGTAAAGGCTAAATTAAGGAAACAGCTGGGAAAAATAATGAAATAAGGGGATAAACCAACGAGAATGAGTAGGAAAAGAAAATAACAGCCGTGAGAATGAGCAAATTAAAAAGAAACTAATATCCTGGACATCGGCGAGCGGTGGTAGTGTTGGGTGCCCTTTAAACCTTTATTGGTTAATGGTGTATCAAATCAATGTGCGAGAACCTGTCTTGTCATGGTCAATATTTACCCAAGTATCCGTTCCGAAACCATTTTCCTTGGCACATACACCAGGTTTAGGACGTAGTCTGTTCCATTTACAATAATAAATTCAAGACAACCATGTACAGTACCAAGCAGTGCAATGCCTCCAAAGGACAAGGCTTAACACCTTTTACAAACTTCATTCATGTCCATTGTATCAAGAAATTTCAATTAATCATGGCATCAGTGGTTTGTACTATTGTCAAATTTGCAGTCGTCCCTGCACTTGCAGGAATCATTACAGTAGTTTTGTACCACGCATGCCTCATTCAAACAACAGTTTTCAAGCTATAACGGGTTTCACCTGTCAATTGTAGTACATTATTTAAGTTTATATTTGATCTTCGCAAGGCTTTTCAATTCGGTTCTATACCAGTTCATATTGTTTAATAAGTAAATATTCAAGACGGTTCATAAAAAATCTTAATATTGTAGAAATCAATTTTATTCCTTTTAAATAAACATAATCCTTATCCTAATGGAATAATGTAAAAATGGATATCCTAAATCATGTACATTTAACCTAAATGAAGGATAGGAATTTAGAAGCACTTCCTGTGGACAATGGATGGGCCCGACTCGTCATATTCTTGCTTGCTGATCCACATCTGCTGGAAGGTGGAGAGGGAAGCCAAGATGGAACCGCCGATCCATACAGAGTACTTGCGCTCTGGGGGTGCAATGATCTTGATCTTCATGGTGGATGGTGCCAGGGCAGTGATTTCCTTCTGCATCCTGTCGGCAATTCCTGGGTACATGGTGGTGCCGCCGGACAGCACTGTGTTGGCATACAGATCCTTACGAATATCTACGTCACACTTCATGATGGAGTTGTAAGTGGTCTCGTGGATACCGCAGGATTCCATGCCCAGGAAGGAAGGCTGGAAGAGAGCCTCGGGACAACGGAACCTCTCGTTACCGATGGTGATAACTTGACCGTCGGGAAGTTCGTAGGACTTCTCTAGGGAGGAGGACGACGCAGCAGTGGTCATTTCCTGCTCGAAGTCGAGGGCAACATAGCACAACTTTTCCTTAATGTCACGAACGATTTCTCGCTCAGCAGTGGTAGTGAAGGTGTAGCCACGCTCAGTCAGGATCTTCATCAGGTAGTCAGTAAGGTCACGTCCAGCCAAGTCCAGACGCAGGATAGCATGGGGAAGGGCGTATCCCTCGTAGATAGGAACAGTGTGTGACACGCCATCACCAGAGTCCAAGACAATACCGGTGGTACGACCGGAAGCGTACAGGGAGAGCACAGCCTGGATAGCGACGTACATGGCGGGAGTGTTGAATGTTTCGAACATAATTTGGGTCATCTTTTCACGGTTGGCCTTGGGGTTGAGGGGAGCCTCTGTCAACAGGACGGGGTGCTCCTCTGGGGCAACACGCAGTTCATTGTAGAAAGTGTGATGCCAGATCTTTTCCATATCGTCCCAGTTGGTGACAATACCGTGCTCGATGGGATATTTGAGGGTGAGGATACCTCTCTTGCTCTGTGCCTCGTCACCTACGTACGAGTCCTTCTGGCCCATGCCCACCATCACGCCCTGTAGGAGGAAAATATGAATTAATATTAATATCAAGATTAATTAAAAGTTCACCAACAATTACGGGAAAAGCTGGATACACACAAATGTCTAGTAATGTTAGGCCCAAGAGAAAGTATAATTTAGCACAGGTAAAATACAGCTAAGCGAAGATTGAGATCCCAATTCCCTAATTAAAGAATCCCCGTTATTCAAAAATCAAATTGAAGTCAGGTTATAAATGTTGGCATAATTTTAAACCTTCCATCATGTTAAGTCAACTCACCTGATGGCGGGGTCGGCCCACGATGGATGGGAAGACAGCACGGGGAGCGTCGTCCCCGGCGAAACCGGCCTTGCACATGCCAGAGCCATTGTCCACAACCAGGGCGGCTACCTCGTCGTCACACATTTTGAGTTATTACTGCAAGGAAAAAGTGCACACATTAGAAACTTTCCACTCTTCCTTGTCGTATCCCCTATCAATCACTGAAGTTTCTCATGGTATACAGACAGAGTCCATTTCACTTCACAGTTAACTGAACTAAAATGATTTCATGTTCCACTGAAATATAATCACAAGTCCACAACCGACGTGTTACCTAATTAATATCACAGTCACTGACTACGTGCGTTGCGGGGCCTGCCCGAAGGTGTGTACAGCTTCAGTACCCGTGTTGAACTGAGAACCATGGAGGCATCCCGCGGCTTATATCACCCCCCTCTCCTCACCCCGCCCCAATGACGTCATCAGCCACGTTCCCTCCCCCCCCCCCCACGTCGTCCATATTAGGTTCACTAACAAGGCACTTTCTATTTACTGCTTTCAAGGCAAAATTCACCAATTTAAACGATTTTCACATCAATATAACGCCCAGTTGTTGCTTAACTCTCTAACTAGCATGGGAGACGGTTCATATTTTTTCGTTTCAATAACTACCTTTTTCCCCCCTCAATACTGAACTTAACACCCACAAATTTTTACTAGATATAATAAAACCCGACAAATTTACTACTGTATTTGATACTTAGTTTGATATTCATAAAACCTTTATCATACTCGGCCTAAACACACAAGGGAACTCTTGAACATGTGCTTAAAAGTCACAACCACCTGTCTCCGTCGTTCCAGGTTACGTGCCAAGCCAACACGTCTATTAATAGTACACCAAGACCACCTGTTTACTACCCAAGGTAACTTAAATGCACTTGACGGAATGAGCAAGTCTACCTAGATAAGCCACACGACACACCCCTAAGACGCCGGTTTCAGTGTAACTCACGAAATAAACTTAACAATTCCATAATAATCACTTCAAATCAAATGTCTCCACTATATTCACCGTCTTATTGCACACTATCGTCATAAACAAGTTACAGCAACACACAATTCATTAAACTCAATCTTTTACTTACTTGAACACGGCGGGCGAGTGTGCGACTGTACTGGTCCTCGTGGTGATCGCGAGTGAGTGAAGCGCGATTCTCCACCTCCAGCAACGTCAACTTTCTACAGGGGGGGAGGACTGCAAACGTCACTACTCCAGACTGTAATTTCTCCACTAATACAGTATATAATCCCCGAAATATAGATGCGAGTATAATTAAAATAACCTATTCATCGATCTGAAGTATAAGTATACCGTAATAACTGCATACACGTGTCTAAAGTGTGTGTAGGATAGGGTACTCCCCCGCTATTCGCCGCAGTGGCTTCGCCTTAACCCCGCCCGGACAAACGTATATAGCCTTATATGGGCATACTGGAATCTCAGGCCTCTGATTGGTCGAGCCAGCCGTTGAATGTGCGGCGGGAAGACGAGAACACGCCGGTCTTGTTTATCTTGGTTGTATTTCATATTGTTTCACTCGATTTTACTTATTTTGGGGTATATTTATCATTAAATCGGTGGATATTTCTAAGGGTGTTTTTGCATTTTTTATAAGCATGCTATGTGTGTGAAGCATTCCGTAGTGCTTGGTGCTTGATAAAAGCGTACTTTATGCATAAAGCTGGGAATGTCACAGAGCTTCCTTCACTCGCCATGAAACAAAATGAGAACAATGGCTAGAGCGACCGTACTGGATTCACTGCTGCCAACCGCATACGGGCCGCCATGGAGTCGCGCTTTCAGAAGACCCCAAATGAAAAATCCTTGGGCTTGCTTTATTCGGTTACAGACCGAGAGAGAGTCTGCGGTAGTTAGGGGCTTACGCTTGGCTTTAAGTGATTCCGCAGGAGTGGACGACTGTTTCATTTCAGGGCACAAGTGAGGATGTGGAAGTTACAAGTTTGACACTTGTGAGCGATAAGTTGGTATTTGCCGTTACAGACATGACCGGCAATATGAGAATTGTGCCCAGCCTTGGATCACAGTGCATATTACGTGATTAAGAATAAGATAAAAGTTACTTTGAACTTTTCTTAGCACTCAAAACCTTTGGAAAAAACCTGTTTAAATTATTAAGGTTGATGCAAATGTTAAGTTTCAAAATTTTAAGGGCAAACCACCGCTTGACAGGAAGGGCTCTTAATACAACTACATGTCCATATTTGGCATTTCCTGGAGGTATCGCTGTCACTCTACCATGGAGTATGGTAATTTCCTGTGAGTATGTAGGGCGTAAGCAAGATCATGTAAATCTGCAGGCGTGTCCAGGCGCCGACTGTGTCACTGTCATACACACTACACCGCGGACACACGGTCTCAAAGCTCCCAGTGAAAGCCTGAAATGTTCCATGTAATTAAAGTTAACTCTGATCCCAATGTACAATGCATTTCTAACGAAGGTGAAAGCTGACACACACACACACACCATACAACACAACTCAGACTGCTGGCGACAACTCATATTTCTCCTCCTGTATCTACTGTTGGGTCAAGAAACACAGTGCCATGATCTTTAATGTCTAAATTAAGCCGCCATCGATCGAGGAATGGAACAGTTTCCCGTCAAACTATCAAGTGGGGGGCCTTAGTGGCTGGTGTGTGGGGTGAGGTGGCTGTGTGATGCTTCCCTGGTGCCCGGCTGTGTGTCACCACTACTATACACTCCATGATACGGTGACACGGTTGAGGTACTTGCATGGTAACGTGAACAGCTACGGCAGGGGAGGTGCTGATTATTCATGCTGGGTCACGTGGTCCGGGTGCTGGGGGGGGGGAGAAGGACGAGGAGGAGGGGTGGTGGTAGGAGCTGCACGCAGGACTACCCTCTGGTTACTCATCCTTAACGACTACTTGCTAAAGAAAAGTCACAGAATTATGAACCAACCAGAATAGGACTTTGTGATGACTAGTGTAACGTGTAGTTTAAACCTTCAGTTACAGCATAAGATATGAGGCTGTGGGAGTTTTGTCACAACGTCGGGGTTAGCTGGGAGTGGCACGCCGGGTGAGGTATTTGGATGTTCGTCGTTTTCCCGTGTTTCCCCAGCAGGCACGGGGACGGTATCTGCTGAAGTGGCATCCTGTGTTGTGTAATTAACCCATATCAACATACACTACCATGACTCTGCTTTATTTCACCTGACAAAACCGTATTCCTGAAATGATGAGAAAGACGTAGAAGAAATTACCTATGTTAGCGCAATCTGGTACACGGCGTAAGTTAATTTATAGAGGGCATATTATGTTTATTATTTACTAAATATGTTTATACCTAGTTAGTAATTCACCGGTGTGTACGTGGCCAGGATATAAGTGTGTGTGTGTGTGTGACGATTGTTTGCATGTTAGCGTGTGTGTGTGTCAGTGTGACGATGTGTGTACAGTATGTATGAAATTTTCCTATGATGTGTGTGTGTGTGTGTGTGTGTGTATGTTATAGAAGTGTGTAGGTGTGTCCATGTATACTTACACATGTGCGTGTAAAACATATCACACGAAATATCAATACAAAGAAAAGATGGATTTGAATCTAACGTGCAGTCGCCTCTCCAGTCCCACCCCCCTCCTTCCTCACCTCCTCGATACACACACACACCCTTCACTTACAGACCCCCCACACATCCGCTCCTCTCCCTCCCCCCCACACACACGTTCCTCCTCCCCACACTCCTTCCTCCTCTTCCCTCCCTCCTCCTCCTCACCTCCTCCTCCTCCTCCCCACACACCCGTTCCTCCCCACACTCCTTCCTCCTCTTCCTTACACTCCGTCCTCCTCGCACTCCCTCCTCCTCCTCCCCACACACCCGTTCCTCCACACACACGTTCCTCCACACACCCGTTCCTCCTCCCATGCTGCTATCGCCTGAGGGCACAAGAGTGACAGGGTACCCTAAGGGCTATAAACATTCTTGTCCCAACTCAAGGTTAAAACATTCTTATTTCCCTCCTAGTTTATGACCTTCACGTTCATATTTTTAGCACATAAGTTGAACATTCACATCCTAGATCAAGGTTCACCATCCCAACACACACAAACACACGCAAACACACACACAAACACACACCTAATCGTACAAGCGCTTGTTGTTAGCCTAGAGCGTTTTACATGCCCTTTTTAGCGGCAACCTGGTGTGTGTGTGTGTGTGTGTGTGTGGTGTGTGTGTGTGGTGTGTGTGTGTGTGTCCAATATATACAAAAACCCTGTCTGTCTGTAATCAAAAATTTTTAATAAAAAATAATTAACTGTCCAATTATCCCAAAAGGAAATTTCACAAAACTCTCTATCTATCTGTCTGTCTGCCTATCTGTGTCTGCTTATCTGTCTGTCTGTCTATCTATCTATCTATCTATCTGTATAAACGGCAGATATATTATTAGCACATATTACTATTTATTGTTCTCTTATACGCTACAGGTGGGAGCATATGTCATTAACCTGTAATAATAATGAGAAGGTATTTGGAATAATGGGTCGTATTTTGTTATCTTAATTGATATGAAGAACAATTTTCATCTCAGACTGAACGTGAAAGTTGGAGATGTTAGGTTAAGTTAAGTTAGGGTAAGTTAGGTTAGGGTAGGTTAGGATAGGTTAGGTTAGAGTTAGGGTAGGATAGGTTAGGGTAGGATAGGTTAGGTTAACTTAGGTTAGGGTAGGTTAGAGTTAGGGTAGGTTAGGGTAGGATAGGTTAGGTTAACTTAGGTTAGAGTTAGGGTAGGATAGGTTAGGTTAACTTAGGTTAGGGTAGGATACGTTAGGGGTGGGATTCTGTCGTGTAAAATAGAATGTGCCTCCCTTAGGCACTGTACTCGACCGCCTTCACTGTCCCAACAGTAAAGTTAGATACATATCACTATACAGTTGGTTCGGGTAGGAATGAATGCCCCTTGGGATCGAACTGGTGACCTTCAGAAGAACAGGAGACGAGAGCTGTATGGACTGAGAATAACCCCCCCCCCCCCCCCCCCACCGGGATCAAACCAGCGACCCCTGTAGACGGGAGACGAGCGCTTGTATCCACTCGACCGCCGCACCTCGTCTCCAAAGTGTTGTACAGATGCCAAAAGAGACGGTAGTGAAGTACTCCAAGCAGAACCGAGGGGGTCATGCAACTTCAATGATGACGAAGCAATGTTCCCACAACAGGGGGCTGCAGCGTCGACGAAAGTGCATTCTTCATCACAAAAAAATTAATCACACAAACACAACGATGGCTATATATATATTCCTCTTATTTAATCAATTCAACGATCTTTCTGACCCACTGGATATGATGGTTAGTTAACGATGGTAAGGAAAGGTAAAAAAAATGTAAGTTGGGTAAAGGAAAAAAATCTCGCCTTGAACACACTTGAATACTGCGCGCTGTCTGCTTGGTCGGTCTCGGCGCGTTTACACTCCGATACACAACACCACTAAGTTAAGTTTGGCCGTATAATGGTAAGTTATGACGGACTTGTTAGAGATACTGAAGACGAAAAATTAAAAAAAAAATGGGGAGTCCTACACACACACACCAAAAATTTCCCCAGGAATTGACTGATCTAAGGACTGAGGCGGCAAGAAGCTCCTCTAATATAAATCTTCAAAAAATAAGCAGAAATATATAATTTAAATCGCGGGGTGTGTGGTGAAGTAAGGAGTGAGAGAAAGGGGGGGTGAGGGGGGGATGGGGGGTGTTGCCATGCGCAGCGATCCTCGACAACCCCCCACCACAACCCCCTCCCCACCACAACCTCCTTCACCCCCCAGTCATGCAATGGAATGCTGGTGAGGCTGGAAGTTTTGCACACAAGCACGACTAAGCTGTACTGGAAGGAGGATGTGTTAAGCTGTGGGAGAGAAGTATCCATGGGAGGCGGCTACGTTAAGCTGTGGTGTGGGAAGGATTTAATGAAGCTGTGATGTGAGAGGGACTATTAAGCTGTATCACTTACAGATTACAACTGAGAAAAATATTATTAAAATTTAAAAACAGAAAATCAATAAAAATATAAATGGAAGAGGGAAATAAATAAGAAATAAGCAAAAGTAAACAGAAATGATAGTAAAGCGAGATAGAGACGACAGCCAAGTGAAGGAGGAGGACACGGGCGGACGTATAAGGGGTCGCCAAGAGAAGGAGAGAAGGCGGAGAACATGACTTGTGAGGAAGAATATAAATGAGAGAGAG